CCAAAATATGGTACAGTGTACCATGCTGACGTTATGTCGAAAACCTTGTATACACACGTAACGTTTTCCCAGCAAGCTGCGTGTAACACGTCTTCAGGAGCAAAAGGAGTGCTAGTACTTCCTTCTCCGCTGGATGGTAGTTCATCTCTGAGTCCTTGAGCACTCGACCGAGGAATCGTACGGGGTGTAACTTGCTTCATGTTCTTGCATAAGAGTTGTACTCAACGCCAATTCATTGGCGAAAAGCATCACATGAACGTCCTTTGCTTGGTCGAATGGAGGCTCGGCCATCTTCACCTGTAGTGTTGCGAATGCTCAGCGCGCTACTGAGACATCGCCGCTCGACCCAAAGTCTTCCTCCTTCAGCTGGTACAGTGCTGCACCATATACTGCGAAGTCTTGGATGAATCGGCTGTAGTAGTTTAGTGCCCCAAGGAATGACTGCATTCCTCGCTTGGTCGTTGGGAACGACAACTCGGTAATGGCTGCAAGCTTCTTCGGGTCGGCCCTGCGACAAGGATCTCATCAAGGCCAAGAGGGCCAGATTTCGAGTCCTGATGGGTGGACGGAGCGCTCGGGCAGACCGTCTCCGGAACATGTACCAGCTGCAGTACTTGAAATGGAGTTTGGAGTCCGCATCGACCTCTCAACGCTCGCTCATCTGTGTAGAGATGGTCATCGAGCCTTCCGTTCCCTGGTATCCGGTGGAGAACTTGCCGTTCGTTCCCAAGACAAACGACTGGCTCGCGGAAGTTCCTGCGCTGATGGATTGACAGCCGTGGCGTGCAAACAAGGTGTGCCGACCGTTCTATCACCCGTACAACACGACCTACGTGCCGTGCAATCGTTTGGCTCGGAACTTCTGCCCCCCCCCCCCCCATCGTGCTGTTGGGGCCACGATGGCTAACCGGATCACTAGGGCTATTATCGCCAAACCGTGCTTGCAACATCCCGAGCTAATCTCGGACTGGCAGGACCGCCATCTCGCGGGGTCGTTGCCTGAAGACTCACTGCGGCAGCATCAAGTACAGGCAGCGGTGACGATGATTCAAGTGCTCCCGCGCCTTCACCAGCAGCTCGCTCATCTCCTCCTGATAAAGAAGTGAAGGAGAGCAGCGGTGACACGTCTCTGGGTGTGCTTGCTGAAGCTGCTCGGCGACTCTCGTCCGATTGAGCACTCGGTGCCCGTCTCTTCACCT